GAGCCACCGTCGAGCGGCTGCTGGCGCTGCCCGGCCGGGTGGCTGAGGTCGCAGTCGGCAGCGGCCACGGGGGCAGCGTCGATGTCAGGGATGCAGGCGCTTCGCAGCCGTCGCGCTCGCGCACAGCCACGCCCCGTGTCAGCATCAGTGGTGCCGGCTCTGGGCAGGGCACGGAGGAGGGGGCGGACGGCGGCGCGGCGGCGGCGGCATCGCCGCTGGCGGCCGCGTTTGCGCACGTGACTGTTGCGCTGGGCGCGTCCGCGGGGCTGAACGGCGCCAAGCGCAAGCACGCGGGCTCCGCGGCAGCGGACGGCGCGAGTGACGGCGGCAGCGCGAGCGGGCTCATCCAGGCGCACGTGCCGCACTGCGAGCTCGAGCCCCAGGCGGCCGGCGGCGGCTGCGGTAGCAGCGGCGCGAGCAGCAGCAGCAGCAGCAGCGGCGGGGGCGGCGGTAGCGGGGAGGGCGCGGGGGAGGCTGAGAAGGTCCTCAACCCTGAGCTGCTGGATGAGGGCCATGGAGGTGGGCAAATCGCAACACCCGTCGGACCTGCTTGCGCTCTGACGCTGCAGCGGCCGGCTTTGCACGGCGCCGCCCCGAGGCGCCCGGTGTGACGCGCGCTGTTCGCTCGCGTTGAAATACACAGCGAGCGACCCCTGCAGCAGCCAGCCCGGCCCCTTCTTACAGACATTTGCGCTGCCACCGCTGCTCAAGCGTGCCCCATTGCATAACCCCCCCCCTCCAAAACAGGCCCCAGTGTGCTAGACGGCCTGCTGCGCGGCTTCCGCCGCACCACCTGCAACCGCGTCGCGCCCGCCGGCCACCACGCCGGCCTCTCCTCGTCCGACGACGGCATCTCCTGCGGCGTCTGCCTCGACGCGCTGCCCGCCACCGCCATCCTGCCGTGCAAGCACGTCATGTGCGGTGAGCGGCGGGCTCCCTGGCGCGGGGTGCTTCCGGCGCTTGCGGCGGAGCTGCTGGCATTGAACACCCCGGAATCAAACCTGCCACCGTCCCCGACAGCGATGCCCGCATCTTCAAGGCATCAAGGGCTGCCTGACATCACGCGAGCCTTCTGCATGCTTGCGCGTGCGGATCCTCCGCTCACAAACCCCCCCTCCACCCCCTCCCCACCGCTCTGCCTGCACCCGCCCCCAGTGGACTGCGCCCTGGACATGTGCAAGCGCTACTCCCTGGGCACCGCCGCCTGCCCGTTCTGCCGCGCCCTGGTCGCCGGCTTCCGCCAGGCGACGCACGACGAGATGCGCCAGCACTGACGGCCGCTGCCGGCCCGTCCCGCGCAGGGCCGATCGCCCCAGCTGGCCTCGCCCTAGCGCGGAGCCGCCAACTCAACCAGGACCGCTGCCGAAAAGAGCAACGGTTTGCAGGCGGGAGAGCCGCATTCTTACGCACCAGCATATCTGCAGCTGTCAGCCGCCAGAGCGCGCCAGCTCGGGGTGCGGCGCTGCCTCAGGTGGCGGCGCCGCCGCCCAACGAGGGCCGCTCAGAGACCACCAACGATTTTCACAACACCCATCGCAGCGGCTTGTTCTGGGTGTGCGCCTGCACACGGCGCTGTGACTACCCGCTATCGCGCTCTGGGGTTGGGGCTACCGCACGTCTTTTGGGTGGCAGGTATCAAGTGCGTTCCTTGCGGCGCCCCTGCACCATCGCGCCCCACCTTAAACCCTACGTGGGCCCACACGGCCCATCACCCTGCGCCAGTAGTGCATCGATCGCGCCCCAGGCAGCACGCGGGCCCCTGCCAATGAGAGGCCTGGGGCAGCGGCGCGCCATCTGGGCTGCTGGGCTGCACCGCTCGTGGCACCGCTCATTGCGTGCGCGTGGGAGCGGCAGGCGAGACGCAGTACTGCATGATGTTCTGAGAGGCGCGCGCCCCGACGAAAAGGGCTCCGGCTCGGATGTTTGCGCGGGCCTGGGCCGTGTCGTGGTTGTCGGCAAGCCTGGCTGCTGCCGCGGGCGGTGCGCATGGGCCGGCTGTCATTGCCCCCCGCTAGACCTTTCATTTGCATGACCCCTCAGCCACTCAGCTGCGTGCACGGTTCCTGGCCTACCACCTGTCTGTGTGTGCCCACCATTGTGTATTTGCTTTTTATGAAGTGAGCAGCACTGCCCAACCACCATAACTGCGCAAGCAAGCAGCCTCACCAGCTGTTAGTCGCCCGCCTCGTGCTCTGTCAACCAACTTGCGGCAGCCACGCATTTGTGCCCACATGAAAAAGTGGCTGATATTTCACGGCATCTACACACTCTCACCGAGGTAGTAATTCACACTTTGGCTTCCAGAAGCCCGCCACAGCATGTTGCCACTGCCCCAAGAGTCGCAGACTGCAGGACTTGAGCTGTCAGCCGGCATGAGCCACCCACAGGATTCCCATGGCATCCGCGCTTGAATCTTGCTGCATGCTGAGGCCGCATGTGCCTTCGCACATCAGCCAGGGTGTGGCGCAGTGGGGCGACAGCGCTCCGGCCTGCACTGAGCGCGCCTGCCCTTGGCTGGAGAAGTCGGAGTGCACGCGGTCCTGCAGCCATCGCACACCCGCTTGGTCGTGTGGCTGGGCTCAAGCTAAACGCTTGTGCACGTTCCGCATCAGCAGCACGGCGGCAGGCAGTGCAGGACGCAGTCCTTGTTTCAAAGCAGCCAGTCATCAGTGCGGCAGCGGCGGCTTGTTGTGAAGAGAGCCGAGGCAGGATAAGGAAACAGTGCTAAAATCGAAACATTGGATGTCTGCATGAGCCGTTCTCCACGTGTACATGTATGCCTTTCGACCCTCAGCGAGGCACCGTCGTGTCACCAGGCGTGGTCCGTGCCTCAGTTCACAAGCACGAGCGTCATGCAAACACATCAAGTCGTTGTGCTGAATTATTACGAGTTGCATCGCACCAGCCACCCCGACGCTCAACACTGTAGATCATCAGCTTTCTCGGCGGGCAGCGAGGGAGGACAGTCACTCTAGCCAAATAAAGAGCTGTCATACGGCGTACCTCTTGTGTCCCACGGGGCGTGGTGAATGTCACGCACCGTCTGCTCTGTGGTGAGTGCCCCGAACGCCGCGGGACATGGTTAAGTGCGCTGTCTTGTAAATCATGAACGTATGTACGGTGGCTGTGTGCTTAAGGGCCTGCTCTCCCTCTGGCGGTGCCCGTCTTTCTCTGCACAGACAACCAAATGATCAAAAAGTGAAGGAACTTGGGTTCCCGTCATGAGCGTTCAGGTGCGTAACGAGGATGGCCCGGCTGTGTTGCATGCGCGCGCCCAACCAGAGCAGATCACGATTGTCCATCGGCTTGGCTGCCTCGTGCAATGCAGGACGTGCAGATGTCAGAGGTTGATGACCCGCTGTCAGAGCCGTCGCTGCTCGCCGCGCACGGCGATGGTGGTGGCGGGAGTGCCGCTCAAACTGCACCTGGTGAGTACAGGCAGCTCGCATGGGCAGCGGACGCGTCACCCGCGCCGCGTTGGCGTCGGTCCGGGCGTTCCAAACCTGTGCAGCAGATTCTTTGTTTGCGGTGTCGGAGTGACACATAGAGATAGTCAAGGACCGCCAATATGTGTCCTCGTTGCAGGCGAGGGGCAGGCGGCGGCGGCGGCCTTTGGGGCCCCGCTTGGAGCACCAGGGCTGGTGGCGGGCGAGGGCGAGGGCGGCAACGGGCAGCGGGCCGGCGGAGCGGCAGAAGTGGAACCAGGAGCAGGAGGCGGGGCTGCCGCCACAGCAGCTGACGCAGGGCGCGCCGCTGCTGTACTGAGGTGCGCGCCTCTGCCTCTGCCTCTGGGCTGTTCTGAGGTTTTTCCACGACGAGGGGGGCGGGCCCAAGCCTAGCAGGGTCGGGCCTCCTGCCACAGCTGCTTATGAACCCTGGGACTGTCCGCTTGTATATGCTGAACGCCCGAGCGCGGGCGCTTACACGCCCACCCGTACAAATTGGGCTTACCTTGCCTCGCTTCGCAGCAGCAGCGGCGGCGTGCCAACGGAGCCTGCGCACCAGGCGGCTGCGCACTCCGAGCGGCAGGCCGCGCCCACGGCCCTGTCCGTCGGGGCGGCTGCGGGCGCTGGCGCACCTGAGGCGTGGGGCGCGCTTCATGCGAGTCTCGACGCGCCGCAGGTGCGCGCCGTCACGCGTGCAGCCCGCAGAGTGTCAAAGCGGACAGGGTGTTGCGTTGGCCTCGCAGAATGCTTCACGGTCTTTTCATGGCTGCAGCGCTCTGACCTGTATGCACAACGCATGCGTGCCTTTTGCAGCAACAGGAGCCTGGTGCTGGCGCGAGCGACCAGGCGCAGTGGAGCCAGGGGCATGTGCACGCCACTGTGCCGCCCGTGGCCGAGCAGCCCGCGGTTGCGCCGCCCGCGGCCCCGCACCAGCAGCCATACCAGCAGGCGCACCAGCAGGTTGCAGCGGCGGCGGCGCAGGGGGCGAGGGCGGCGGCCGGCGGGCTGGTGCACCCCGGGGCGGATGAGGGCGGTGATGGCGAGGACGAGGAGGAGTACGACGGGTGAGCTCGGGGCTGCGCGGTGCAGGGGGGTTGGGGCGCGTGCGTGATGGCCTTGGCAGCGGAGGCCTGGGGTCCCATTGCGGGTTGAGTCGGCCCCTTTGTGCTACAGCGGCTTGATTTGGTTTCGGTCGAGCAAGTTCTGCGTTTTCTGCTTGCCCGCGCAGAACCGATGACGGCGACGCCGACGGCGAGGACGAGGAGGGCGGCCGCGCCCCCCGCGCCGGCAGCGCGGGCGCTGCGCGCCGCAACGCCGGCGCCCCCCAGCGCGCGGT